TCTTTTCTCATAACTGAAATATGAATTGTACTACTTTAACCTATATTTTTTACAGAATGAACTGTCCCAATTGAAAGATCTAGAACATAATACTGTTAACTATGATGTTGTTTACAACTTGTTCATGATTCAATATTCTTCAGCTGAAGTTTTTTCTGCTATGAATACTCAGAAGAAATTTGATGAAATTCTCAAATCTGATTTTACCTCCAAAAGTCGTCTTGTATAAAGAACTTGTCTAGAGGAAAAACAAAGAAGGGTTACCTAATTTACAAGGAATATGTCGTTCTGCATATATAGTGCCATTCCTTCAAAATTTGACAGGACTTCTCAAAAACGATGAAATTCGGAGTAATATTGGTAGTCAAGAAAAGTATGATAGTAGTTTATATAAAACCGTTTTAGATGGCCAAGTTTATCGCGAAAGCGAGGTTTTTAAGAAAAATCCTGAAGCACTAGGTATTGTACTATACTATGAAACTTTTGGAACATTAGAGTATTGGAACCAAACTCTCGGTGTTTGTGCAAAAGCTCGAAAAATTTTTAGTTTTTCATTGGAGTATCGCTAATCTTGATCCAAAATAGTGTTATTCAAAATATGCTATTCAGTTATTAACAATAGCAAAAACTAAATGGTTAAAAAAGAACAATGCACTCTCGGTATTGTTGGATTCATTTATACAAGATTTCAACTTCTTACAAACTGAAGGCGTTAACATCAATGTAAGAGGCAGTGGTGAAAAAAATTATAAAGGTTCAATATTATTTCGCTCTGGAGATACATCAGCATCAGCTCAGATAGGAGAGTTTAAAGAATCTCCATCAGCTTACCGATTATGTCGTCATTGTATGATCACGCAAGATGACTGGAAAATAATTTTTTTCTCTAAAAATTTTATTCTTCGAGATAAAACATCTCATGCTAGCCATATATTAGCTGTTACTTTACCAAATATACCTACGAATACTCGTAATTTTTTGGTCTCGTCGATGTGGTGTACACTCCAAAAGTTTGTTATTGAATATTTTGGATTTTGATGTAACTAAATGTCAACTTCAAGATGTCATGCATGTATTAATTGAAGGTGTTGTAGCTGTAGCCTGCAAAGAACTCTCATCATTTTTAATCAATGAAAAACAGATTTTTACTGTTGATGAGTTAAATAATAGGCGTGTAAACTTTAATTTTTATAAACATTTTTAACGCTACATGCCAGCCATAATTTTACAAGAACATTCGATTGATAATGGCACGTTACATCGAAATGCATCTCAAATTTTTGTCCTTGCACATATGCTTCCATTTCTTATGGCTAATTCTGTCATCGACGCCGATGATAATAAAATTAATGAGAGATTATTTTTACACGTTGAATTATTAAAAATTTTGAATGCATTGTTAGCTTATGGAATTCATGAAGAATGTCTTATCCTTTTAAAAGATAAAATCCAAACTTACGTTACTCGGTTCGATGACTTATACCCTAATTGTATTATACCTCAATTTCATTATCTGTTTCACATACTTCAAGATATACGTCTCTTTGATATAAGTCCTGGAGCTTTAAATCATTTAACGATTTTCAAAATTCAAAACTTTTTAATTGGTTTATACCAGCTGTTGATCGTTTAAATTGTGTATTATTGCAAACTCCTGTAGTAGACGTTTACGGGACTGTTTTTACATTAAATTCATCTATACTTTTAGAATGTACCAAACATACATTATCTCAATCTGGTTGAATCTAGAGTAGCGGTAGATACTCGGCGCCAACTCCACATTCACCTTCTGTCTCTCTCTCTTTTTCTCACTAGCGCGCTCTTTTCCCCATGAGCGCCGAGGCTACCGACTACTCTATACACCAAAAATTTTGTGTGACGTCATCGACGCATCTCTGTATGCAATCATCTTTATAATTACTACATATTATGCTTTCATATTCAAGAGGTAGTTATCTTATATCATAAGCTTCCGATTAAACGTTAAACGAGAATTTTTCGTTAATTATTGACCGAGTTATTAATAAGCCATGCCCCTCACAGCGATATTTCTGCTTTTCAAGATTTGCTCACTGTTTCACTCTACTTCATCGAGCGTTCTATCATGTGTTCTCTCTTACTGAATGTGTCTTTTGTCACTCACTTTCACGTTGGGGTTCCTACAGTGCCCTCTTTCTTGCCTTGTCTTGAAGAAATAAAAAACGAGTTCCGCAGAATAAAAGAAGAGTGAAAAATATACCTATGTAGCATAGAAAATAGCTGAAAGAGTTATAAATTATGTTTTTATAAAAACATAATTTCTGAGAAATGGCACTTAACGAAAGACGCCCAATAAAAGTATTTGATTTACAATGGGCTGTGGATGAATCAGATTTTTTTGATAGTAGCCGTAATCTTGCAGATCATAAATTCCATAATCAAGAAATTACAATCAATAAATTAGAAAACGATAATAGGAGAAGTAGTTTTGCAAATGCTACTATGCAATCAATTATTAATTGTATTTTGACATCGAATGTCTTTACAGATTTGACTAATACCTCTAAGTCTCCTCTAAAACAATTATTGTTTATGTATATAAATAATCACAGTGACCTGAATACTTCCATCGTGCTTGAAGATATCGAAAATGCAATCATTTCACACATAAATGAAATATTTGAATTAAATTATACACAAGAAGTGTATGAAATTAATATGTATCAGAATTAAGCTACGTGGTTTCCAAACACTCTGTCACATTCACACATTAAAAATATGTGTGACATGTGGAATTCACCTACATAATCACACACTTAGGTTTGCAGTATGCTGCCGGTTGAAACGAGAGAAGAAGTTAATAAAATCTTATAACTTATTAAATTGTTGCAATTTTTGTGCAATGGCGTGGAATTTAGTTACCGAACGGAAAATCATAAATTGTTGGAAAAAACTTATTTCTATCAATAATACAGAAGATAGTAATTTTGAAGTTGATAATCTTAATGACAGTGCGTTGCAACCACTATTAAGAGTGCTAACTAAAACTAATATAATCAGTCGCGGCTGAATATTTACAAGATCCACTGCCAATTCTCAGTGAAGAAATCTGTGATCATGATTCTAATAATGATAATTCTTTTGCAAAGGTTACGTTACACCAAGCTTATGAAGCGGTGAACACGTTTATTAATTATTATGGGATTTATGAAAAACACGCCATTTTTGTGCTAATATTAACTGAAATAAGTAACGATATCACGATGAAATTATTGATTAATAAAGAATAATTTTCAAATAGTGTGTATTTTTTATGTTCCTACAATTGTTTTCTTATTTATTGAAGCTATTTATTTTTATTTATGTTCTTTTGATAACTACGCTTATTCAAAACTAGTTTATTGTTTAAATAGTATTTCATAAATTTTTCAGTTTATTAAAACTATTCATCAAGTTTTTTTAAGCTCTGTATAAATAAAAAATAAAGAATGCAATAATAAAAATTTCTAAACAATGATTGTACTTCAAAAATAGTAATTTCATTACGAATAACTTTCAAAGAACTTTGTTGTTGAAGAAATTAAACATTTCCATACAGATATTCGAATCGTTTTTGAATAATATGTCGCGCCATGCGCCTTAAATCTGATTGGCTGATAGCATGGTGAGGATAGGGGAAGTTTCATTTAGAGAGATAACCTTGTTTCGTTTTGAGAGAGGTAACATTTAGAAAGATTCGACTGTAAAAAGTTAATACTACTCCATGCTGATATAAGTTCCAGGCATCAACCGGTAAACTTTTAAATGTTTTTCTTGATTTGTTGATCGCTGCTGACTTCAGCTAATGTATTATTCTTAAGATTATCAATCACATTGAGTTACACTATGAGTAATAGCTGCTATTCTAATAAATTATTCGAATGCTGACGTTAAACGAGCTATTGAACTTTGTATGTAGAATAGAATAAAATTTTAAGAAATGAGCATAATTGTTACATCTTCGTCGTTAAGCCTGCTGACAAAAATTATTGAGTCATCATTATTAAATTATCGAATCAACGACATGGGATATGTAAAATCTCCATTTATATGGGATAAATCAACTAACGTTTTCTGCACGAAGCATCGCTACATTTGGGTTAGATATTACAATAGTAGATGTACTATTGCACTCTTCCCGGGTGAGCCAAAGTCCCACTTATTCTTCCTACTTAGTAGGCCTTGTATTGCAGTATCCAAACATTTTATTTTCCATCACAAATTTGCAAAATTTACTTTTTGTAATAAACATATTGAAACGAAGATAAGAATACACTTTATTGTAAGAGATTTTCATCTTAATTTCTTCTGTATACTCATTAGGTTAATTATAAACTTTTATTTACCAAATAATTAGATAGTATTTCTTAGAAAACGCTAGTTCTTTAATACTCCAGCGGTATTTCAGTCATTACTTACCTCGTGTGAGAAAATTTTCGAAAAACTGATTCTGAAAGAAGCAATTTCATTGGAAACAGATACTGTCAACAAAGTTTTAACATTCATGAGCACATTGAAAAAAATTATACTTTAATCATTTATTTGTACAAAGTAGTCCTTCGAAATTATTTAGAAAATTTCATTCATGGAAAGAACCAAAAAAAAAATTCAACTATGACTCGATAGACATTCTTTTCATATGTGTAATAAATATTTTACGTAAATTACATCACAAACAAATAGATAATTAATAAAATCACTAAAATAAGTAACAAATAAAATATTTTAGCAAGAAATGTTGTTTTGGCTTCTTCAATAGTACGAATCACTTCGTTGTTTAAAATAAATACCATTTTACTTCCTTCTATGAGACACTCTCTGGTACTCTCGTTACAATTATGAGCGATTTCATTGACAACTTCACGAATTTTGTTCTTCAATTCGTAAATATTGTTGTGTCCTAAATCCGTTATTTTGTTACCCTCTACCTGACACTGATTGCTTGAAATATTTTTTGGTTGAAAAAAATTAATTTTCTTTATCATTTGTCTTTTTCTTTTCAAGATAATACCACCACTCAGGAGACCCATGTACCGATGATAGATGTACGCCATTATAAGTATTGGATTCTTCTTTTTTAAATTGTGTAGATGATTTAAGTATTTTTAAACTGTTTTTCTACAATAATTGATAATATATTCATGAATCTTGCGTTTCAAACATTGTAGTAAATGATAATTATGATATACAATAAAGAATTCAAAATATTATTAATTTGTAAAAATAAAAGAAATATTTATTCATCATACTTTCGCTCAGAAATAGTCTTCATTTTCTGTTTTTTGGTTAAATAGTAACATGTTCTATTCCGCGTGGAGAAATGCGTCCGTCAGTGTATATTTTTGGTGTTATTTTTCTCTGCAACAGAAAGTATTACTATTTTAACTTCAAAACCGAAAATTAATTTTGATTTCGAGCAATTCAATAACCAAAAAATGTGTTTACTGAAGAAACAAAGCAAGACTGTTTTACCTGAATGCCTTCAACCTTCGTTTTCAGTTTAAATAGTAGTATTAAATCCAGAAAAAACTTAATTTTGTTCCTTTTGTAAACAATGTGTTGCGAATCATTATTAGAAGCCAATACAACCTATAAATAACCTGAGAAAAAAACGATTCGATTCATACTTAGGTCCAGAAGTTAACCAGTCTTTTATAAAATGAATTTAAAAAAAAAAATATATAGTTCCAAAGAAATTACTATATACACGATTCAATTAGATGTTACATATAAACATTGCCAAAAATCGATGTGTCTGTTTATAATATTGCGATATCTGTCAGTGTCATAGGTACGTTTTTTGAGTGGCAGTACACGTGTGCGGATCCTGTCATACTATATTATAATTGTTTTATAATTTTTTTGGTAAAAGGTTAATTATAACAGGTAGTTATAGTAATATACCCAAAAAAACTGTTTTTTGTATAAGAATATTCGAACATAAAAGCGATGTAATCTGAGAGGTCTACAAAATGAGCTTACCAATAGGCAGCAACAAAATATAGAAAACTTATGTTACAGCTAAAATGGAAATATTCGAAATCGTCAGTTTCCCGGATGACTGATTCAGCAAGCGACGCTCTTGTCAACTCATGTAAGCCAATCACAGCCCTTCATAGGCCCACACTGCTTATCTCACATTCCTGAAAACACCGGCAAGCGTGTAAAGCTAACACATGGTGTCAGCATACCTGCAATAATTTAACGCACAAGTGCTATCACTTGAGTTTCAGTGGCAGCTATTGGAATGTAAAATGAGTGTTTTGTGTGCACAACGATACGCGGAGAAATTAGCGATGACTCTTTAGAACATGTTTTTGTGACAACCCATTAACCTATTGACTTCTGAATTTCTATATTGCATATCACATTGAAATTTGATAAAGAAACTATATACTTCGGAATAACCATATTTTGAGTTGGAGACCACGAAACATAAAAAAATGTTAAAGTTTTAAATTAAGAAAATGAAAACGATTAAAAAAACTCCTCCCCCTCCCCCCGGGAACTAAATGATTACTACACGGGGAAAAATCAGTCAGTAAATTTGAGCGTCGGAAATCAGACATTGTTTTTCGATTATTTCTACCTTTTTCATAATATTTGAAGATGAATAGATACTCATTGTATACTTACAAAGTAAATGTAATCAATTTTAGGAGTAACATTAACTGTGTAAAAATTACAGATTCGAATGCACGGCTTATTGTTTCACAAACAAACAATGTAACTCGACATGTCACCTCCAATTTTTTTGTAACTGATATACTATTCTACATCAAATTTTAAGGGTCACATATTTTTTTTGCCAACACGCTTTTTTTGGTGGTAAAAGAGGCCCATAAACATAACTACTTTTCAGAGCAGTTTGAGGGTTCTACGTACTTGAAGTCAATATTTTTCCGAAAGACCAAATAGATATTAATCTAAAAAAAATCAATTGTAATCGAAAGAGCAGAAAAAAAATAGATATATGTTTTTGCATTCTAAAATAAATACGTTTATATTTAATGTGCAAACTGTCTGATTTATTTTTTTTCTGAGCAATAAAGTCTTACGAAATTTTTATAATAATAAAAAAGAATTATTTTCTTATAAAATGTTAAAAAAAATTCGACGATATCATTTACAATTTATAAACTTACTAGCAAATTCTTGCGATTTCGTCCGCGTCATGTGTATAATCATGTTAGTAGAACTGAAATTTAATATAATTCAATTGTTATAAACAAAAGAAATATGCCTTTCAACATTTCACATGCAATCGGATAAGCCGTTTTAGAGATTAGAGCGGACAGACAGACAGACACTAGAAATTTATATAGAAGCATAGATAGAGATAGATAGATATTTTATCCTATATATATTACTTAAAGAATGTTGAGGTTAGATTAAGAGTTCCATCCTCATCAGCAAGTTAAAACTCATAGAAAGTAAGCTACGTTAGCAATAGTCTATTGACGATAGCGGCAGTAAAGTATAGATACACATTTTCAATAGGAAGAGAATAAAGTTTATTATGAAGTAAAATTACAGCTACAGCATTTCATAGACGATGTTTCAAAGTACTACTTTCCTCGTCATGTACCTTTCGACTGACTTGACTCGTCTACCGTGCTCACGCTCGTACACCTACACTGTACCCTCACTCACACACCTATATGTGCTGGTGCTTACTGGCCTAACCGCAAACATTATTTTTACATCTCAACAAGCTAAACGGGCGAAAATTTAACTAAAATTTTTCTTTCTGTTCTTCTGGCTGGTTATTGACATGCCCGTTGATTGTTACGTGGACTAAGTATGATTTCAATTATCTAGTTTTATATAAATATGAAAAATGGAATAAATTTGTTTCATATCAATAGATTGTAATGGCTCCACATTATTGCTATTCACAAATATATATAGTTTAAATTAATGATTTCGAATTCTAGTTACCTTGGAGTGTACGTTCTAGACCAATTCGGACCTAAGTAGAAGTTCAAATCATCTTTTAAGGCTTGCACTCGGTAAAGATCATTTAAAAATTGGAAACGTGCCGAGAAAGCATTTTGTTCGGTCTCTATAATTGTTTCCAGAAAAGAAAAATGTCATAAAATATTAAAAGACCATCTGTTCACACATCATTTCGGAGTAAACCTGCAAAATACAGAGGAATTAAAGTATTATAATTATATCGAAGATAAAGTCGTAATTTTATTGTGATAATGATAAAAGGAACTGTGTGAAATTTATGACCTCATGGTTTTGTCGAGATAGTCCCCAGGACGGAAATGAGTCGAACGGTACTTTTTGGGGCGTGACGTTATCATTCCGTTTTTTGAGGTATAAACAAAAATTGCCACACCGGAACATCAAATATGTATTCGATGTACTTGCACTGCTATTTTTTTAATTCAAACGATGCTGGCTTCAGGCACAGGAATTTTTGAAAATGAGGCAAAAAAGTTAAAATCATGTATCTTTAAAGGAAAGGGTAGATGTGATTATAAATAAATAATTGTGTGGTAGCTTAGCACTCACATTTATCTTATGGGTACAAAATATGTCGGACTTATTATCGAGCGTCATTGATACCGATCAACACTTGTCGTTAGGTTGATGACCCCATTGTATTTATTATAAATAATTGAAATTAAGGTCTAACCATATAATTCCAATTTTTTCGAAGCTGCCTGGTTAAAATTATCGAATTCGTTATATGTGAAGTATAGATTATTGAGTTCTTTATCAAGTGTAAGGCTACAGTATTAAATTTAAAGTTAATGGTGTTTAATTATTAACATAAAAAAAATTATAAAACGCCAAAATTTAGTTAGGATACGATAAATATAAATGAGTTTATTATTATTATTGGTATCGGGGTTGCAGCCGTTCAGTCAAAAGTTTACAGTCGTCTCAGAATTCGGAGGGAACCAAGAATGACCGCTTTCTGCACACGAGCCACAAGAATCTCAGCCTGACTATGGTAGACTGGTATTGTTCGAAGCTCTGATAGAAGATGGTCCCTCATCCCTTCGAGGGCGTCAATCATCAGGACTAAGCTGTGTCTGCGTGACAGACATTTCGTATGATCTCGATAGCTTTCAGCTCGGGGCTGAGAACTTACTATACTATAGGTTCTTGGTGTTCGATAAGTTGAGGCATAGGGAGCCGGAAATTGCAAAGAATTATCACTTTTCCGTTCTCAGTGACTGATTCACTTTCGCCGGGAACATAGGGTGTACTGATGTCTCGTCAATCTCATAAGAGTGCCGAATTGATACAGCACTCATAAGGCGGCGTTATGCCAGTGAATGTAAGCTGAACGCGCTAGTATCGGACAAGGCTATAAAACATGAAAAAACGTCTTATCTACATCACTGTGGCATGTTCAGCATCTTATGTCCTCGAGCTGTTCTTGCATAACATTACGCTGATAGATGAGAGTTAAAAATACACCATCTTGGCAGGTCGTAATGAATCCTTTCGTTTCTGAGAACAAGCCTGCTGACTTAAGGTATTGGAAAGTCAGCTGGTTCGACGAGTCCTGTATTTCAAGATGACGGTAAAACACGCTATGTAAGGACTTTGTTACATGTTCGTCTAGCAGTTTTAACTGATGGAAAAAAATCAAATTTTATAGTCAAACATAATTTTTTGATTGTCTATAATACAACTTTTTTAGACATAGAGACTTCGTTTCTATTCATAGTGAATAGTTAGTGGCTTTTTTTAGTAAGAAGAAAAAAATCCCGACAGACAAACTCGATTTTATTGCATAGATTCTGTTTTCTATGTATGTGGCAGGGTACTTCGAATCCGTAAATGCTCAGTGAGCCTAACTCGACCCCCCCCCCTCGCCCCTCCCCCGGATCCGCATACTAAGCATAGAAAAGGTATCTTTTGACCTCTCGCAATGGAAGGCCGCTGTCAGGGCTCGGCAACGGGTCTCCGCAGAGGCGACCAATATTAATAATAATAATAATAATGAATCTAACAATAGTTATAATTGTAGTAATAATTATAACTAAAACATCACGGCATTAGAAGGACAGACGAGCTCCGTCTTCTCCAATTAAATCTTCATCTCAACATTAAATCCACGAAAGAACCGTTTGCACTTGCCAGAAAGCAACTGGATGCACTGTTATTACAGGAGCCCTACTTCACGAATGCCGACTTACAAGGCTACGCAGTTAGAGGATTTGGCCAAGCTCTAGTCACCGCTAAAACACATAAACGGGAAAAACCCAAATCGGCTATTGTCGTAGTTAACCCTCTTCTTAAGATGCTCTACATCGATGAACTTAGTACTGCACACTGTACGTGTGTTCTCATTGAAAGGCTTGGTTATTAATTCTACGCTATTTCACATTACTTCCAGTACGAGGATTCAATCGTTAGAATTTCTATGAACGACAATACATCAGAAGAATCGTCAACGCCGATGATGAACCTCAGGTTACTAACATTCAAAATATGACAGGCAGAATGGGATGCGTCCGAAACGGGCCGCAAAACATACCAATTCTTCCCAAGCATAGCAAATAGACTTGATAATAACTGGAAACCTAATAATCCTGAACAACCTAATGACACCAATATTCACAAGACATGGCATATTTCGTGCACATTGTGACCATATGCCACCGAGACGGACCCAACTTGCCCTAATTGCAAAAGGGAAGATGACGACACAGTGGAGCACTTCTTGCTGCACTGTCCTGCATATAGAGACAAACGTCGTGATATCATATCGGTCATACGTTCAGAAATGAACGTTGACCTCAGCCTAACATGGCCTGAAATAGCGCCAAAATTCGGCCAAACAAAGGACACATGTAAGGCACTCGAACAATTTGTGCGCGGAAGAGAAATTGTTTGAGAAAATTAGAAGAATCCGCGAGGGGGTGAGAGAGAAGAGGAAGATAGCGCGAACGAAAGCAGCAATACCCATTACACAGAATCCTCCACCCGGTAGAAGTAGTAAATTATTACCAGCGCCATAAACATAGCTCGTGAACTTCATTGATTAACACCTGGGTGTTGTCGAAGCATCTAGGCACAAGTTGCAGGCCTGCAATCTTCGCAGAACACCTGTAACCTGTGGATCAAACGGATAGGGACTTCATTCTCTCTTCACTTTACTTCTCTGCTTGTTTTGTTTTTTTTTTCACTTTTGTTTCTATCTTTTTACTTTACTTCACTTTCAGGTACTCAACAATCTCTAATACAAGCTATTACATATTTCGGGAAACGCCTCATACTAATCATTTATTCTTTCAGGTGTTGACAATATAATCGTGCTCCTCCCATACCATAAACAACTGGGGTCGCCGACCAAAGCGGATAAAACTGATACTACTGGTGACCGAAATCCAAGTCCGCATCTAGGGCTGCAAAGTCGAAAAACGATATGTAGAACCAGGTGCTTTCGGTCACTTTACTTTTGTAGGTAAATGAGTAATAATAAAATCAATTGGGTTCAACTTTACTTAGATTCATTAAGACTTTGCTGGCTAGCTGATCTACAATAAATGTTGTGACCGATTTGCAATATAAATATATAAGGATTTTAGTGTGGCTCACTCTACTTTCATACCGAGACGCCAAGAATTAGTAAATTTTGATCTCTCAGAGTTTCCGTGGATTTGATACTCTAAAGTAATGACTCGAATCAGCAAAGGATCCGTAATATAGCGACTGGCAAAACATAAACAATCACGGTGACGACCTTATTGGAGTCACATACAACATTGGAAAACATTATCATTTCCTACCAGACGTATGGTTGCTCAGGGATTTGAGGAAGTTGAATAAGTACAATTGAACAGCGTTCGGAAGTGAGAAATGTAAGTTCAGGACTTCTTTTGAGTCCTTAACTGCGTTGCGAGTAGCAGTAAGACCAACTAATAGCTGTCTTGGGATCGGATTTATATTGTTGAAGAAAAAATTGACTCGAAGCTTGAGCGTTTTCACAAGTTAATATGCAGCCCACGAAAGGGTAATTGTTCTCAAGTATTTTCTTTATATTTTTATGAATATTCATAGAATAGCTAGCCAGAGTTAATTGAAGAATATTATTAAAACGTAAATTAACTTATCTGTTGCATTATAATTTTGGTAGGGAAACTTCATCTTTTTCAGGGTTATCTGCCTAAGACCCGGGGTTTTATTATTCTAAAATAATACATTCTGTAACATTCTGGCGATGTCCGCATTCAGACTGTGAATGCAATTCGAGATTTCAGGCAGAGCACAACTGCGATAGATCTTCAGGTTTTCAGTATATAGTAGCCTCATCGATTCAGTGATGCAGGTACTAATACCATTTCCAAATAGAGAGAATAGGAGTGGTCCAAGAATGGATTCTTGAGAAACACCCGCAGTTGTCGGTAGAAAAGAAGTCAAGGAGCCATCAGAGGACAGCCTGATGCCTGTTCACCTAATACGAGCACATTCAGCAAAAAGCGTCCTCAGAGAAGCCTAACACTGTAAGTTTAGCCAGCAGCAGAGAGTGCGAAACTTTGTCAAAAGCTTTAGAGAAATCAAAAAGCACGAGAACGGTAAGTTTGCGATTGTTCATGTTAGTCCTAATGTCAGCAAGTTGTGTTGATTAAGACAAGATGTAATCTGCTCAAAAGCTAATCTTTCCCGCACTTTACTAAAAAAAGGTAACAGCGCAATAAACCGGTAGTCTGAAAGTTGCTGAGGAATATTGATTTCATTTACTGTCACCACTCGTGCACACTTCCAGGAATCAGGAAATATATTTTGGTCACATGACCGATTGACGATGATTACAAGAAAGTTCAAAATTGCTGGGAGGGCCATAGTCACCATTTTCTTAGAAATGACATCGCACCCAGTCCATTTTTCCACCAACTCATCGAAGTCAGAACACCGGTGAAAATATAAGACACCCTTGGCGTATGATACTGCTGTGAGAGGGACAGAGCGGTACGTTAGTGCTTATCACTCTCATCGCATGTTTTCGGGCCTAAGCGCACGTATGTTAAACTGCGCCCTTCGAGGAAACAAGAAGAAAAGATATATAACGTTAATAAGTTAGAAAAAGAGAGCCGTATCGACTGATTTTGGGCTTGTCAGGAAATATCTGACGCACAAGATCAGTGTTTTCCTTCTCAATACATTCT